CATTAACTATAGTGTTGCATCCCTTTATTATAATCTTCCTAACTTAATAAATGTGAACTCTTTTTAGTAGAAGAAATTTTTGTTCCATTTCCCTTTCTCACTTTTGTGAGAATGTTGACCAGCTGATCACCATGGATGATGGTAATTTTTTATATTTTTTTTCATACAGTACTTCTTACTTCACTATTTAAAAAAAAATTATAACGATATTTCAAAATTATTCAAAATTGTGTATACTGTATTATATGTATCATGTAATATGATTTACATACTTATTTAGATGAATATGGTTTGTTGCCTGGGACAAACTCTCGCTTTGCACCCCCCGCCTCGAACTTTTCATTTGCACCCCCCCCCCCGGGGACATATGTCTTCCCGCCCCCCCCCCCCCTCGCTACGCCTCTGAGCTAAACTTAATTTTACTATTATCAATGAGCAGTTTAAAGCTATTGCACGGGTAACGAGAAGGTCGCATCGGCGCCAACTGAAAACTTAGCACAATTACAGAGAAATAAAAAAAAGGTTTGGTGTGATTTTCAATAAATGGTTAGTGCGAGGGGGTGAGCAATTAATGATATTAGACATTATAAGTCGGACGAGACGGGGAAAGGGTGACAAGTATTGCAACTTTAAACGGTAAAAATGTATACTGATCAGAACAAAATACAATGTCAAACGAAATGAGTCAGATTGACACCATGTTGGAAAACTGCAAATCAATTTAGAATTCGATGCTTGGATGTAGCTGCTAACAGTGGCGGCACTTAATGGTGTCACCCCCCCCCCCCAGAGGCATAGAGACCCTTCCCAGGGACAAACTTTCAAATTTTCGATTTGCACCCCCCCCCCCCCCCTCAAGTTTTCGATTTGCACCCCCCCCCCTCAAAAACTTTCGATTTGCACCCCCCCCCCCTCGAGTTTTTCTCTATATATTTTGCTATTTTTTGCCTTGGTGTCACCCCCCTAAATGGTGTCACCCGGTGCGGTCCGCACCCCCCCGCCCCCCCCCCTCGCTACGCCCCTGGCTGCTAATTAACATTTTTTTCATTGATGAACACCTCTAATTTCAGCTAAACTGACACGTCTTCTGTCTCACCTCCATTCCGAAACAAAATACGTTACCTTTAATTGTGATTATGATCCCACGCCAAACTTCTGAATGTAAGAACCGGTCGATTTTGTAAACATGAACGTAGTTGGTGAATGATCGTCTCGCTTGCCTCACTCTCGTAAAAAAAGACACACGTGGGTCGTTATATATATATTAGCATAAAACATGATTGTATTTTATAATACATATACGACGATAATTTAATTGATTTTTTGTACACTTAACTGAACATTTACTTGATAAAACTGAACAATATACGCTTGTAAATCAGTCACAGAGACTTTTAAACTTCTGCAACTGACCTTTGCATGAAAACGTATTGTTAGCCTATGTTAATTTAAATGTATAGGGCTTTAACTATTTAGCTATGTCTTTGTTTGTTCACTTATATAGTTAAATGTGTAGTAAAGCACATTGTCTTTTGACCAATAACTATTTTATAAAATATTTCTCCACAACAAGTATAACATTTAAAAAAAAATATAAGTCTACAATTCACGTGTAACGGGTAGGGCTACTAATGGCTTTTTTTAAGCGTGCATTTTTGTATTATTCATAAACTTGGTGCGCGTTAAAACATTTAAATTGGGTCTTCGAGTTCAAAATTTAAAAAACGGAAATAACAGAACATAAGTACTTTATAAACATGAAGAGATAGGGAACAAGCAAACATGGCTCTGATTACGCTAGTATTAGCAATCCTGGGTGTCTGGTCCATATCAGCACAAGGTAGACTCATAATTTAGGTCTATAATTCTTTGTCATAAGGCCAACTCTTATTTAGATCTACATCTAGATCTGTTGTTGAACTTTAACATATAATACGTACCAATGGGGCTGATGCAAAGGAAGATAACTTGTATACAAAACATGTCAAGAACCCCCTGACATAATGTTGAACTTTGTTTTTAATTAAAAAAATAATACGAACATCTTTTACATAATACAAATAAACAACATTTTGTAAATCTACTGAGGTTCAGATATAACCTAGTGATAAGGTATACGAAAACGTAATAGCGTACGTCCAATAAACCAGCAGCACATTTATGCTATACAGTATTAAAACTAATGTAGGAATTAGATTAGTATTAATATATTCCCAGAAAATGAGCGACTTCCAATTAGTGCCTATCCATATGTTTGTTACCAGAAAGCATATTTTTCGACAAAAATTGAATATTTTACATTTGTGAAATAAGTACAAAATGACTTCCGGTTTTATTAAGGCTAGAAATATTCAAACAAATACTTAATCATAAACAGACAATAAATAGATGGATACTTTTATTTTAATTCTGACTAATAGAGTCAGTGTGTTGTAGTGACAGGGGTGTTATATTATATTAAATAAATAAAATACTAGGCTATACCGCATTGAAATAATTAAAGGCTAATCAATATCAATACTTAAAATACTATTTTAATATATGCCTATGCAATCCAGATCAGACATTTTCAACCTATGACTATGGGAAGGTCCATAACGATGTTACAATTTGTTCCCTCATTCCCCCCCCACACCCTCTCAATTTTTACTAAAATCCAGACCTCCCACACATAAAGTTAATCGCATACATCCGTAATCCCACATTTCTTACATATTGCTATTTTGTTTTTAAAACAGCTATTTATTTTGTTCTGTGTTCTGCCAACAATTAAAGTAAGCCAATTGATCAATTATCTTATAACAATTTATAACATACATTTTAATAACGCCGAAAAGCTTAAATCCAATTTATAATCATAACTGTTTGAAAATGCAAAGCAAAAGCGTGTAATACTTTCTGAATAACCCTCCCCTCTCGCTGTACCAAAATCTGGAATCTCCCCTACACCCTCCGAGTTTGATGTCTTTTATGGTCGACAACTATTTTTCTACTGTTTATAAGCAACTCATTAATTAGTCATACAAACCCAAATACATCATTTTTTGTGTGTATCGCTGTTAATATTAGAAATAACAATTTATCACAACTCAACATTAACGGTACATTATGCAGTGCAAAGTTTAACTACGTTCTCTATTGTAAAGGCAAGATCGAAGAAACTATTTCTTTTATCAGCTTTGTTTGTGTTTTATAGCTTCAAAGTTTATCAGTTGGCGACCCCCCAGAAAGTCCTTCGCAACCCCCAGGGGGGGGTCGCGACCCCCAGGTTGGGAACCCGTGCTCTATTGTAAATAAAAAAATGTAAAGTACTAAACATTTTTCATAAAAAACGTTTTAATAACAAGCTTTTATGTTCTAATGCACTAAAATTAGAAAATAAATTATAGACTACTATTTAAATAGCTATAAAGAAAAGCGTTGCATTGCACAACAAATATATTTTTAAAAATCAATAACAGTTAAGTAGCCAGCTACTAATTGTTCTCTATGTTTACTTCTTTCCGTTTACGAATAAGCTTGTAGCATTGAAATTTTTCACTAAATTGAAACAGGCAAAACCCCTAGCGCCCCTGCAGGATTTGATTTGGCACCCTAGACTATAATTTGAGCACTATGGTGTATAAGTTCGTTTAAAAGAGTGCGATAGACTATGAGATTGCAAAAGACTATGAATAAATTGGGGTACTATAGTTGTTTACTAAGCTGAAACAGGCGGTTCCGCCATGATGTGATTTCGCGCCCTGGGCTAGACTGTGAGACTTTGCGTTTATGTTTGCGTTTCCTTTGTGTTTGAGTTAAGTTTGAGATTTGTGGTTAAGTTTGTGTTTGCATTTGGTTTGTTTTCGTTTTTTTTGTTTTCGTTTTTGTTTGTGTTATCTTTGTGTTTGTGTTTGCGTTTGTGTGCGGTTTTTTTATATGGTTAGTTTTGGTTTCGGTTGGTTGCAGTTAGGGTGGGAATTACCGGTTACATTCTGATTACTAAACATATATATTTCACGGCCTTTTACAGATAAGTTTTTCAGTTAAACAAATGCAGTGCCTGGTCGGCACGGCTAGTAATGTATATAACTTCCTTTTTCTAAAAGTTATTGGTAGTCAATGTTGTATAAAATGTGTTGGGTTTTTAGCTATAAAGCTATTTATATGCTTTGTCAGTAATAATTTTGAGTATATAGTAAAGCGCATTGTCTTTTGACCAAAAACTATTTTATAAAATTTTTTCCCTTAAACAGGTAGGCCTATGCCATTTTTAAAAAGTAAACTGAGAGTAATCTCCCCTAAACTTTCTCGAATATTCTTATATAACACTACGATGGATGGCAACTCGGGCCGATAAAGACATGATTTTAAATCCATGTTTTAATTACTTAAAAGTTTCAAATATAATAGAATCTCGAGTAGACACCAAACAATATGAGTATAATAGTGTGGAACATTATTAGTAGACCTCCTATATAAATTCACATGCGTTTTTAGAGAAATCGGAAACAGCGCAAATTACTACTTCCGGTAAACAGAGATTACTCAAAAGTTAACATAAGGCAGTGAATTAGATTTCTTTCTAACATGTCAAATTTCATTTATCTATCTAAAACAATACTCAAGTTAACGGCTTTTAAAAATTTAAAAGTAAAACAAGTGTAAATTCCGGTTACCAAAAATGGCTGAAAAATTGATAAAGAACTACCATTTGATATGATACTTATGAAATATCATCAACCTAGCTGTAACGGTACTCAATTTATCGTGTTCTCATGCACACAAACACACACACACACACACAGAAATGCGCACACGATTTCAAATCTGTTTTTCCGACTCAGGGATTACAATATGATTATAATATTTTCTCTATACTTTGTATACGAGAAAATTAAATTATAAGCCTACAATTCCAATGTAACGGGTACTGATGGCTTGTTTTTAAATAAAGGCGTGCATTTTTGTTACACATAAAATTGGTGCGCAATTAAAACGTTTGTTTTGACTTCAAGATAAAAAACGGAAATCAAAGAACATAAGAAATCATAACATTGACGAGTTAGGGAACAAGCAAACATGGCTCTGATTACGGTAGCATTAGCATTCCTGGGTGTCTGGGCCATATCAGCACAAGGTAAACTGATAATTTAGGTCTCTAATTCTTTGACAAGAAATTACCAATGTTGACTTTGTTGTATTTAAATCTAGATCTAGATCTAGTGTTGAACTTCTACAAATAATTTGTACCAATAGGGCTAAGAAAAGCGAAGATGACTTGCACAAATAAATGTCAAGAAACTCCTGGCATAATGTTCAACCTTTGTTTTTAACACAAACACTTACTAATTACAAAAATAATATGAAAATATTTTATATTATACAAATCAACATCATTTTGTAATTCTACTGAGGTTCAGCTATAAACTAGTGGAAAGGTATACAGACCTAGCGCTACCTTAAGTTAGAAAACGTATAAACATTCGTCCATTAAACCAGCCACACATTCAATTTAAACAAATGTAAGCATTAAATTAGAATTAATATATTCGCCAGCAAATGCGCGAAATCCAATCAGTGTTTATCTGAATAAACTTGAAAATGGTTCCATATGTTTGTCACCAGAAAGTATATTTTTCAAAACAAAATTGAACATTTTCAATTAGTGAAATAAGTAAAAAAAATGACTTCCGGTTTTATTAAGGCTTGACATATTCAACAAATATTTAACAGCAAAATAATAATAAATGTACGAACACTTGTATTTTTAATTTTGATTAATATAGTCACTGTGTTGTAGTGACAGGGGTGTTATATTATATTATATAAATAAACTACTAGGCTATACCCCATTGAAATAAACATTAAAGATTAATTAATATATAAACACTTACAATACTGTATTGATATATGTTTAAGCAATGCAGATCGGACATTTTCAACCTATGCTAATGGGATGGTCCATAAACTATGTCAAGATCACTACATAAGACTAAGAGTATACTAAGTAATATATTAAGATAATTGAGGAGATCCGAAAAAAAATCATCTCTTTACTATTACTCTTCGATTCTATTATTTCTATTATTCTTATACTAAGAGGGATAAAATTACTGTAATACTACTACTGTACTAGATTTAATTAAACTTACATTTTGTATATTATTCAATATATTCTGTAACCTATTATTAAACTAAATCTTTTTTTTTTACAATTTCAAATTATAGCCTTACAAAACCTAGCTAACTTTATTGAACCTACATAGTTCTATTAACTTATTTTAGTTTGATTATATAGACTTTATAAGCTAATTTATGATAATTTACTTTACTTTGGTACTAATTTGCGCATACAAAACATACTTACGTTATCTGATTCACATTGAGGAGAGTCGTAAAAAGTGTGATAAAGTAAAATTTGAACAGTGAATTATTCCGTTAATTTTTAGACCAAAACGTACATGTGCCAGCATAAAATAAAGCAAAAAATAAACTTAGTCCAACAGTTTTCGTCCCGCGCAAGTTGTTTGTGAAATAACTCTGTACAGAGATTTTCAAAAAATACACATTTGTTTCTTCACCATCATTTGAATAGAGTCGACATTTTTAGGATTTATTCTTTATTCCTTTTATGATGGGACTAACTAACATGTATTTGTTTTAAATATTGTTTTAAATTTTCAATTGTACCTCAAACTACTTTGGTGAGAATAGGATAAAAATGCCCCACATCTAACAACAGTCGTTCAGTATCTCACATTTAGTTTTCATTTTAATCAAATTTAATGACTTTTAAATCTTATGTCATATGAGTCTACATTTTCTATTCAGGGTCTTTACGATAATGTCAAACCTTTTATTAAGAAATAATATTATTGTCGCTTTGGTTATCACTCGCTTCTCTCTCTCTTTCTCTCTCTCTCTCTCTCTCTCTCTCTCTCTCTCTCTCTATATATATATATATATATATATATATATATATATATATATATCACTCACTCTCTCTCTATCCATATATAAGTATGGTTGTAGGTTTCTGTGTTTCTAAGTTTATGAGTATGTGGGTTTGTTGGTTTGTGGATTTGTTTATTAATTATTCATTACTTCACCTTTCATCCAATCGTCAAATACTTTAGGGGGGTGATTAGAGTACTCCCGGGATTTGCTTTCTGCGAAAACAAATTTCATTTTCGGCGCACAAGTACTCACTAGATAAGATATTGTCTCTATAATAAAAATAAGGAAAATTGATTTTTCAATAATCAGAAAAATCAACAATGCGTAGATTATTTTGCAAACAATGTCCATTAAAAAACTGTTACAAAATGCCTACAGTTCTAAACAAAATAATAGAAAACCCCCGAGAGGTTTTCTACAAAAAAAATCAAAGGGCTACTCAAATCTAAATATATATCACCACCATAGTTTACAATGAATAACGCCCTTTTAGATTAAAAAAGTAACCATTGAAAAATTGAAAAACCTTAATTTACAGTTGCGTCACCTTGCAAATGACGTAATCTGAATCTAATGATAATCCAATCGGATATTGAGATCGAACATATAAAAATACTACTACCTTAGCTATTAAGGTAACTGTTCGATAAATGACTATGGCGTTTATAAAATATCTAATATTATCTTGTCACGTGTTAAGAAACAATCCTGTAGAGTTTCGTCACTCTGAGAATGACGCAATCGTCTTTTACATTTACATGATCTAATTAGAAAATGAGATCACTTGTACCAACATACACTATAAACAATTATAAATGTATATAAATATAAAAGTAGACACATTGAATTGTATCATATTTTCATTTTTAAATGAATGATACCTTTCAAATCAAATACAAATTGAATATTATCATAACTTGTTTCCTCGAATGTTTCAAATTATGAGACCCCATTGACGCGCAGGGCGTCATTCCTTCTATATATATATGCATCAGCAAAAGGGTGCATATCTCATTTCAATTCACAGCATATATTCATTTATTAATGTTTTTTTTTTTTCTTTAATTTCGACTTTCGCCGGCCATTTCAATAAAAGAAAATCAGTAGGCCCTATTATATGCTCAATTAAAGCTTTAAGTGATTTTATTTCAGTACTACATAAATCAATAGTACCAAAAGAATTAAAGAAAGGTTCAGAAGCTACTGTTGTCTGTGATTCTGATCTTGCCGGTGTCCCTGAAAATGGGAGTCCTGAAGGCATTTATTTTTTGCAGCTGAGTTGGAATAAAAAATTCTTTTACTCGTTTAGTAGGGTAGGTAGACTGGAAGTTCATATTTTAAAATACGTTTGGAACCTTGTTTTTTTTGGTCTTGAAATCATAATCATTAGGAATTGTTACATAGGAATTGTTACATAGAAAATATCATACGTGAATATTAATTTCAAAAAGAAGAACAACAAATATATATAAAAAATATAAATATAAACATGAACATAAACGTAAACATAAAATTATATATGTGCATATATATATATATATATATATATATATATATATATATATATATATATATATATATATATATATATATATATATATATATATAATAATATACATATATACATATATACATATTTATATATATACACAAACACACACATATATATATATATATATATATATATATATATATATATATATATATATATATATATATATATATATATATATATATATATATGAGTGTGTTTGTGTTAGTTAATGTTTAGGATAGGAAGTTATTAAAATTAACTGAGCAACAAACATAAAATATCATTGTTTTTAATCAGAATCAATGGGTGTTAGTTCAACAGCTATTACAAAAAAAATATGATGAACAAAGTAGTATACAACACAGGTTTCTGGGAATACGTTTCTGTAGAATTTACATAATAATTTTTGTTGTTATTTTTAAATCCTTGTATAGTTTGGTACTGGCGTAACACCTGGTGTAAAAACTCACTGGCGTACTAGGGTTTTTGGACACTATCCCAAGAACAGTCGTGATCTTTTCAATAGGGACACATTCAGGCTGGAACTCGATATGATAAATATCAGCTTCGATGACATAGGCGAATTTTGTTGCTCTAGCTACATCAGCAAGAATGGAAATATGCAACGGCCCGCCTCAAAACGTTGTGAGGACTTTATAGGTTGGTGTCTTTTATGAGGATGTGTTTTGTTAGGTGTAATCTTCATATTTGTATAATAATGATGCTTATTCTTTTAAATTTTAATTTATAAAAAACCTTATTTTAGGTAATTCCATTTTGTACTCTAATCGTATTAATGTTTTTTTAACTTATAATATTTCCTTATTTGCTTTACCTGTATATATCTGGATTTTTTTCAAAAATTGTTTTGTCGAATTCGAAGTGGCATTTTTTTTAAATTTAAAAACAAAGTACATTAAAATACGTACACACACACACACACACACATAAAATTGTAAAGTTGTGATGTTATGGTGAGCTCAAACTTATGTTCACGGTCTTTTCCCTTTCAAATATTTACAGTTACATTTCACTCTATATTGGAACTAGGCGTAAATTCACAAGAGACACAAAATTTAAACATCAGACATCATCAATGTACCCCTGATCTCGCGGGAATCCCTTATACAGCAACAGAGTTTGAAAACTTGACTTTGTTCTGGCAAAATAAAGATTTCGATCGGAGCTCCTATTTTTTGTATACAATAAGAACATATTGGTATACTAGTCAGGTAAGTGTATGGTAAAAAAAAAAACATTTAAAAGTCAGTATCACTACAGATTAGAATTTAAGCTTTACCTAAACAAACGTGTTTGATAAAATGGTATAAACTTATATATGTATTTGTTTTTCATGTATAATATACTTTAAAAAAATTAAAAAACTTTTCCAGTAGGCTCCAATTGATAAGCTATATTTAAAAAAATATTTTTAGTATTTTGTTTTAATAACCTACCCGTTTGATATGTCTTGGTAATCTATCACCTTTACCCCCTTTGATCAACCACTTTTATCATTTCATTTACAACTACGTTTTAAACATATTGCAGTCCCAAATACTCCTGTTTATCTGATATATTAAAACAATACCATTATTAAAGTAGCGTTCGAAGTTGAGGAGGGGGGGGGGGAGGAACAAGGGTGAGCTGCAGCTCCCTCTACAAACATTTTTTAGGATAATGGCGCCATTATCAGATAATAAATAAATTGAATTTAAAACACACTCCTCAACACACACACACACGCAAAATAGCAAACACATTACTGCAACTACGAATTAATTATTGTTATTTTATGTACCCTAAATATCGCATTTTTAACAACTCATCCAATTAGATGTATATTTTACTTATTGTAATACTTACCGTCGTCTATCTCAGCTCCAGGAATTTACTGTCCACTATAGTGATCGTAGAACTGCTGTTTGTTCATTCCTGCTGGGTATAGACCTCCAACCACTCACATTTCGATCTAATTTACAAGTGTAAACTATGCTTTAGTTACCAGGCTCAATCCAGCCATCCTTTTTATACAAGAGGCAAAATAAGTTTAGGTTTCAATATCAGTCTAGAGGCGTAAGGTAATTGTTTACGTTAAGTGTTCCCCGTAGAATACAATTTGGCTTATCTTTGATATGTTAATACTAGCAGGAAGGGAAACTCTAGATCCCTTGTATGACAATCGAGAAGATGACCAAAGGCATCTAGTACAGATTGATTATGCTAAATATCTTTATGCAGCTATATATGGTGGGAAGGGGGGTAGTAATCGGAATAACTATACACAAAAATAAACATATTCTAACACAACTTCAAGAATGTTAGTATGAATCATGATAAACAGATGTACTTGACGAACATATACTTAAATACCTCTGGTAAAACAGTATAAAAGCACTATGGATAAGAGTATCACTGCCTCCAAAAGATAAATCAACATCTTCAAATAAAGGAATAACTATAGTTGGTTATTTTACAACCTGAAGCATAGCTTTTTTATAACAGATAAACCTTTGTGATTATTGTTTTATAATTAACAGTAAACAGGTGTGTGAACAAAACAGTGATCTAACGCGTACTTTATTATATATATATATATATATATTAGGATATATACATGATTTTAATCCATTTCAAATACTTAAACGTTTTAAAATAGAATGAAATCTCGTAGAAAAAAGAATTTCACACCAATTGAACGCCAAATAGAATGTGCATAATAGTGCGCAATATTTTAAATTGAGATTCGTTTTTTGAGAGAAAGAAAATTGCGCAAATTACTACTTCCGGTCAACGGAAATTACTCAAAATTTGAAAGATAGTATAGAATTAGATCTGTTACTTACAAGTGACATTTCATTTATCTTTCTGAAATAGTACTCAAGTTATAGGCTTTTGAAAAATTCAAAGTAGAAAACCTTTTCCGGTTATCGGAAATCACTCAAAAGTTGATACGGTTCTACGATTATGATAAAATACTTATATATGAAATTTCATCAAACTAGTTGTAACGGTTCTCAAGTTATCGTGTTTACCGACAGACAGACACACACACAAACACACACAAACACACACATACACAAACACACAGACATATGGACAAGATTGCAAAAGCTTTTCCGGGGTGTGTAAAACGTCGAGATTTGCAAAAATCTGGATTTTGAAAACAATTTTTTTTTCACGAGTACAAGATTTTCTCTATACTTCGTATATAGGGGGCCTACGAGAAAGTTAAAATGAAAAGATTTGAATTGCAATAGTTCAGCTAAAATTAAGTTTACTGTGGATTCTAACTCAGAATGCTATACCTATTAGATTTAGAATAATTGAAGCATTAAAAGCTCTGTCTATACCGCACTCAATTTTTTTTTTCTGTGATGTTTTAGCATTTATGTGATTTTAAACATTATTTTTTTGTAAAAACGAAGAACAATCATACTAAATAGTAAAGTAAATTTTTATATGGTTGAATTTGAAAATTATAATTAAATGTGTAGACATATCTGTATTAAGAAAGTGATAATTCACCCTACTGCAGTTCGCTTGACCTAATTAATATTCCAATGCGGCAGATTGTTTTTTTTTTATGCTGACTACAAAACAAATTGTATTGCGTTTCTTGTTTTTAGTTGTGTTGTGTGTATTATAGTGTTGTATTATGTTATGTTATGTGTTATAAATGGTTTTGTGTCGTCGGCCAACAATGTGTTTTGTTGTTTTGTTTTCTACAGAGTAGCCTATTGTTTGAATTAATTGTTACCGTAGCAAAGCAGTTCCATCCAGCTATATATATATATATATATATATATATATATATATATATATATATATATATATATATATATATATATATATTTATATATATATACTAGCGTACCCGTTCCCGCGCTTTGCCGCGGAAGTAGAATAAAGTCGAACGAAATATACCAATCCTATATTCTTAGACGCGTGACCTTGATTTCTAAAAGTGAGTTTTTTAAATGTAAACAATGCCTGCGCTTGGATCATAAACACCGGGACACGGGTTTACCTACACTACCGCATGAACACATTGAGTGTATATTAATCACTTACCGAAATAATGAGGAAGAACACACTTCGGTGACCGCCCATGTGTCAGGAACATAGAGGGGCGCTCTCAGGAGCCTCCCCCCCCCCGATTACTCTACCGCATAGGTGCCGCGTTCGGACCCTGGCTCCTTAAAACTAACAGGCATCATCGTGCGAATAGCATCCTGTTAATAATGATGCAGATTGCGTCATTCGTTAAAAGTGACACAAATGAACAGGATTTTTTTATTAAACACGTAAAAAAGCTATTTCACTTGTTTAAACCTCAGAGTGACTGATGCAATATGTTAGCATTACTGATGGTCTTTTATTAGATACTCGATCTCAATTTATGATTGGATTGCCTAAAAATAGATGCTAATTGTATCATTCGCAAAGTGACGAAACTGTTTAATTTTTTTACGGACAAAAAGAAACCTCCCATTTAATAATCTCACCTTGGTTAATTTTTATGATTATTAAAAAAAGGTATTACATGGCCCTCAGCGGACTCATGAGCCTTTGGGGGCAAAAACAGACATTTTTATTTGCAGCCAAATCGCGCCCTACCAGGGCGCCGGCGGACACGCCTGATTCAATTTAGTGAACGTTTGAAACGCCCAATTCTATCCATTTTCTATCACAATATTTAGACAAAACGTAGTCGCCATAGCACTCACGGGAAAGACCAGGGCGCCAAATCGCATCCTGCCGGGGAGGGGGGGGGGCGCCCATGGAAAATTGATATCGATCGGATAAATGGTTTGAAACGGCAATCAACTTTTATTTTTTATTTACCGTATATAGAGAAAAATCGCACCCTCCAGAGGCGTCCTTGCGAAATTAAAAATGATTTTTTACAGAACCCTTCCACAGAGTGTTCTTATGAACTCACCAAAGTTTGATGGCGATCGGATGAATGGTGTCAAAACCAAAATCGGCTTTTATTTTTACATGCTGTAGATAGAGAAAAAACAAATCGCGCCCAGTCGGGGTGCCACCCCTGTGAATTTGAAAATGCATTTTTAGCTGAAAAATTCCCATGAATATTTTCAAGATATTCCCAAAATTTCATGGCGATCGTGTGAACGGTATCAATGCAATTCACTTTTATTATTTTAATACACTTATATAGAGAAATATCGCACACTCCCGTGGCGCCTCTCTTGCGAAATTAAAAATGATCTTTTTACAGAACCCGTCCCTAGATTTTCCTAATTAACTCCACAAATTCTCTTGGCGATCGGATGAACGCTGTCAAACCAAAATCGACTTTTATTTTTATATACAGTATATAGAGAAAATACAAATCGCGCCCTGCTGGGGCGCCACCCCTACGAATTTGAAATATATTTTTTGCAGAAACCTCCCCAGGAATATTCTCAACAACTGTTAGGTCAGAATTCCACAAACACCTATTCACTAGATAATTACAGGGTACACAGTAGGGATGGAAGTAGGTGACACGTTCAAAGGAGACTGACCGCTCTGACAGGACAATAGTAGTCTTTATACTGACCAGTAGCCAGGGTTGTTAGCGCCAGGGGGGATAATTTGTTAGGTCACATGTTCTGAGCTCATTGTCCCGAGGGAACAGCTAGGGGGTTAAGACAGGGGTATAAATGCAGGCAGGTTAGTTAGTCTCTCTCTCTCTCGCACAAGCGCTCCCGACGTTAGCGGTTAGGGGAAGCCTCGCTCAGCAGTACAGGCATTCAGCAATTTAATAAACAGCAGAAACTAAGAAGGTCTCCTGTTCCGTTGATTACTTCACTGTAGCTGACTCGGGTAGAATAATTAAATACCCCTAGACAACGACGGCCTTATTGGCTAGTGCCCGAGCCAGTGTCAGCAACGTATTCGGCCGGCGACTAAGCAACCGGACGGCAACATCGTAGTCCGGTCTGCAACATCTGGAGACTCGTCCTATTGGACATAAGGGCCTCTCACAAGATCGAAGCTTCCCGCATGATATTTTGCCTGCACAAGTTGTCGCTATTTCAACTGTTCCTGTAAGAAGCTGTTCCTGTAAGAAGCTGCTCCTGCAAGAACTGTTACTGCCCTTGTATCAAGCTATCCTGTACGAAACTGTTCTGGTACCAGCTGTTCCTGTATTGCATGTTCCTGTAAACTAAACTGTGCTGTGCAACGAGCTCCCGTAACAACCGTTCCCGCAAGACGCTAT